ATTAGAACCGCTGAACTGCAGATAGCAGTCAGCTGAAGTGGCCTGTAGTACTGCACCCTAACCACTGAGCCACCTCATCAAACTCTAGCCCTTCTAGTACTGAAGATGTTGAGAAATCAAATGCCTGCAGGGAAAAACCCAACCTTAGAAAGGATCAAGGAATCTACAATTCACCCTCGAGCTATATACAGTCTCTTCTATTGGTACTAAGTTGTCATTGTTTAGCTCCCCTTTAAAATACATTTTAACAGTGGAAAAAAATATATATATTTACAATCTACCTCTATTTGGATAAATTAGTTTTCTAATTGAACTGGTGGGTGAATGTTGCCATTGCCCAGTCTGGAATACATTTGATAGAGCTTCATCAAATCACGGAAACTGTCAAAAACAAAAACGTGAGACAAACACATTTTTAAAAATGAGCAAAAGATAAAGAAAGCTATGCTACTATACTTTGGTTTTGAAATTCTACAGACTTGAAGTTCAAACAAATATAATATCATATCATTTAAAAAAAAAATACAGGTATATAAATAGAACTCTTTAACTCAGTGGTTTTCAACCTTTTTTCCACCATGGACTCCCTTTAAATACGTTTTGAGGCCATGGAAAAAAAGAATGGTCAATAGCAAGTACTGGAGAAGACACCTTGTGTGTTTCACCCACTCTCTGCCCATCTTCCAAGTCACTGGATTTGACGAGGAAGAGGTAACTGGCAGAAACAGTGGTGCTACTGTCACCAGTTGCAATAACATCTGACTTTGGAGTGGAAAACAAATGCAGTAGGACAGCAATTCCTATTTTTCCCATGCTCCCTCTTTCTGCGCCATTCCTTTTCTGCAGCCTCTATTAGGGCCTCATCTACAAATTTAGGTTTTGTGAAGGGCAAGAGACATTGATCCAAGGGAAACCAATAGGCCCAAGGCAGTTGTTTTCCCTACCCTCAGCCTTTGAATGTGCCAGTTAAAAAATATACTTATTGTAATAATAAAACACAAAGCTCGTACTCAATTCTGAGAATGAATGATTTCACACATTAAAGAAAAACTAATCATTATTTTTTCTAGCTACAGTTCAGAGTTACAAACAAACCCTAAATTTTAGTTAATTTTAAGGTCAGTTTGGTGAAATGAACCAGCTTCATGTTTTAAGCTGCCTAATCGATTCCAATTTATCAAATCCAATCATTTACTAAACTATAATTGATAATAAAGGAGCAAAAACTTCTAATTCTCCATGTCATAAGACATGGATCCAAGATTTGCTATCCCTTGCTCCTGTAACAATAAACCATATTTATTATGACATCCAAAATGGCCTTATGCAGTAAATACATTGTAGTGTAAAAGAGAATACAACATTGTTTTTCAAGAATAAAATACTTTTCTAAGAAGAGTGTCTTCTCTTCCTCTTTTGTTTTGTTTTTAAAATATCCTTTTGACATATCAATCCTTTTTTTTTTAAATGTAGGATCCTGGATCCATAAGCGGGAATTTTGAGAGGTAAGATCCCCATATTACAGGGGGGGGGGGAATCATTTACCAAAATGATAGATTTTATTGGATGTGAAATAATTACCCCATGCTTAGAAGCATGAATATGTAACAGACTATCTCAAGAGTTTCATTTCATACCATTCTGCTTATCTTCATATCTTATCAGCATCCCTTGCAGATTCAGTAAAGCTAGAACTTGTAGTACTCTTCTGTTCTCAGACAGCACATATCCTACTAAAGCATCAGCACTTGGTAACATTTGTACTCAACTGTGCTTTAGAGAGAAGGCCTATATTCCAATGGGGTTGAGGTATAGCATGCATTAGCGACTGAAATCCCATTACTGAACATCTAAGATAACAGAGAATATTGATTTGTCATAAAGCTGAGAAGTACATTTTAATTTCCTATTGCAACACAGAGGAAAAAAGATATCTTACAATCAAAGCAAATTATGCAACTTTCCATAATCAAACAAATTTAACATTTGGAGTGATTATACCTAATTGGGGAACATACACTACATTGGCAAAAGTATTCGCTCACAAATGCTTCTGATTGATTATGTGGATGAGTGAGTGAATACTTTTGGCAATATAGTGTACCTAATACTCTTTCCTCCTATTTTTCCCCACAACAAGCCTGTGAGGTAGGTTGGCTGAGAGAGAGTGACTGGCTCAAGGCCATCCAGCTATCTTTCATGTCTAAGGTGGGGCTAGAACTCAATAAACTCCTGGTTTCTAACCTGGTCTCTTAATCACTAAAATAATGTTCCTCAACAATATGCTTTCAACCTATTCCAGATATGAGCAACCTTAGAATGCTAACATGAGTCAAATTGTCACTTAAATTTTTCCATGTTAGTATAAAAGTACAACCGGATAACAGTTGGCATGTACAGGTAGTTCTCAATATATGATGGCGCAGTGGTTAAATGCAGCACTGCAGGCTACTGCTAGATCAGCAGGTCAGCGGTTCAAATCTCACCGGCTCAGGGTTGACTCAGCCTTCCATCCTTCCGAGGTGGGTAAAATGAGGACCCAGATTGTTGGGGGCAATATGCTGACTCTCTGTAAACCGCTTAGAGAGGCCTGAAAGGCCTATGAAGCGGTATATAAGTCTAACTGCTATTGCTATTGCTATTGCTATATGATCACAATTGGGACTAGAATGTCTGTGACTAACAAAATGGTTAAGTGAGTCGAGCTCAATTTTACGACCTCTATTGCCATGGTTATTAAGCAAATGTATTAGAGTTGTTAAATGAATCGGGCATATTGACTTTGCTTGTCAGCAGCCATCCAGCAAGACCACAAATGGGGAATCACACAATCCAGGACACTGCAATCATCATAAATACATGCTGATTGTCAATGGAATATAATACAACTGCAAACAAAGTGATCTTTTAGTATGATGCCAGGATACATTTAATTAAACTGATTTAAATCAAACGTAAGCTCAATCTATGTTTATTATAAATTCTACAGTGTTCAGAACATACCTTAGTTTAATAGAGGGGTGAAGCATTGATAATCACTGTCTTAAAGCTTTTATTTACTTGAAAATTTAGCGCTGAAGATAAATTTGTGCACTTATTCAAGAAAGATAATATATACTATGTATGATACTCTATTTATATTATTTATATTTCATTATACTGTATTACATTATTTCAAAATTTATATCAGTGGCATATAAATGTAGTTTCTCCTGAAAAATAATGGGAAATCAATCTCTCAAAAATTTGCATAATTGAGGTGAATGGAAAAGAGCAGTATAATAGGAAACAAAACTGCCATATCAGGAAGATTAAAAACTAATAATCAAAGAAAAGTAGTTTTCTATTTTAATTTATGAGGCTAATTTGTATCAGTAAATAGTTATTAATGAGGATAGTTTAATTTAAAAAGTCCAACATATTCTTTATCAACAGAAAAGGAAAATCTCTTTAATCTAATATGCCCCAATTCACACGTTACTCACTTACAAAATAATAATTATGTAAACTGAAATTACATTAGTGAAGCTGTTGATATATTAGCAATTACAAAAAGAAATGCCATCACAATGGCACTATGATAAACCTGCTTAGATATTATGTTATCAATGTTATCAAATATCTTGCAGGTCCCTATAAAACAAGGAGTGCAGAAACACAACTTTCAATTTCCACCTCATCACAAAGACATAGTTGTTCTTATCTTACAGAATCTTCCTTTCAAGAGGGCATTGCAGTGGGCAAATGTAAAAGCTTTTCTAGTGTTTTTAGGGGCAATATTACATAAGTAATGAGCAAGCACAAAACTTTTTTCCCGAGTTCACTGGCTGAGATTGTTTTGTAAGGTACATTGCTTGAAGTTACTTAGATCTGATCAAATTCCATTGAAAATAACAATGGTTTATGGTCATCAATTTCCATCAAAAGGTCTGGAATGTTATTTTGAAGAATCAAAAACACAAGACAGTTTGGATTAAGATTAGTCTGAGCCATTAAACAATATAGGCTACCTAAGCATGAATTTTAATTGGAACCATTCTAACTTTAATTAGAGGCAGAACAAGGAACTAAAACAAGTTCCTTGAGAAGCTTGACTGAACATCTTCTCATGCTTCTAAATTCTTATATGCACATATTTAAAAGCCATAAGACAGCTGTACTATTATTCTAGCTTTAAATACTTTTACTCTACCAGATATATTATCATATTTTTTTTAAGACTTAGGGGGGTAGCTACTTTTTAAAAATCTATTCTGATTAAATTTGGGGCTTCTGTGAGCCAGTGGCATGGAAAATAATTCCAATGTATTTGAAAGCCCGAATCTGTTTGAAATTGTTCCCATGCATTTGCCACCGATAGTTGTATCTAAAGGACCTCTATCAAAATGTGCACAAAACATTTAGCTAGTAACTAAATAATAAGAGCCATTCATTTACTGGGTTCTTCCCAAAGCAATGTGGATACATTTTGTACATGAATACCAATTTTTATCTCTTATGCCAAATTGCTACCAATAATACAAGATATGAATGTATAGAATAGGTTTAACAATAAAACTGGTCTATTTACTTTTTCTTCTCATTACGGATTGTTTTTTATTGGCATCTTACAGATTGAAAAAAAAATGCTGATTTCCTCAACCAGAACTAACCAGATGTGCTGGACTGCAACTTCTTTAATCATCCTCATACAATACAGCAGGCAATGTTGTTTATCAGATTATGAAAGTTATAAAACATCTGGAAAGTACTAAATTGGAGACGATTGAACTAACATATCCTATTTTAAGAACAGCTATATGATAAAGCATCGTTCTCATTTATGCAAGCAGCTATATAGAGCAATTTATGCAAGCAGCTATATATAGCTCTGTAAATAAGTCCAGCTAGAATAGTCATTCTTGGCCTTCTTGTCATTTAAATATTGTCACAAAATATGTACAGGAATATGATAGTGCCAGTTGTGTCACCAGTCACTATTATTTTAGCAAGTGTATTCAACATGCAGCCAAGACATAAAATACTATCTTATAAAAAATACAGGACAAAAGAAAGTGGTAATTGTAAGCAGCATCCCAATAACTACATAATTTTATATTGAAATCATGCCTCTGACATTTTATTTTAAAGTAAGATTTTTGTTTTGTTTTGAAACGCCCTGAGTGTTTGAGGAATAGGGCGGCACACAAGTCAAATAAATAAATAAAACCTAAACATTTTTTAAAACAAGAAATTTTTGTTTTAAGAAATCTGAGCAGCTACTGTGCAGAAGGGAAATGCCATAATGTAATTGAAATTAAAATAGCTACAGAGATCCATAATTAGCATATCTATTCTATCGTTTATATAAGACAATAAATGTTACAGGAGCTTAAGTTTGATTATTATCTACTTCAGCTTTCCCTAAACTGAACTCCACCCTATTGCTAGGGATGATGAGAGTTGTAATCTAAAACATTTGGAAGGCTCCAAATTGGAGAAACTTGTTCTATTAAAAAAAAAGAGGGGAAGGATCCTATTTATTGACTTACAATAGCACATTAAATACAACATCTAAATATCTCATGCTTTAAAAATATAAAATGGGACTGTATTTCTGATGAACCCATGATTAATAATATTATAATGATATCAAACTAACAACCCACTAATTTACTTTGAGGTGTTCTTCTTTCACAACTGGAATTAACTGGTGACATGGAAACAGTTTCGTAATTTTATGTTATGAATGCATTTACTCACCCCCTAACAGCATACAAAGTGACCTGTATGTAGCTACCTTACATTACTTCCATCTTTATGGTACAGATTAATAGATATCAACTGAATATCCAGGTTTAATACCAGCAATGTTGACAAGCATAG